TAAATTTGTATAAAAATACAGCTTCAGTCAACTTAAGTCTACGCATAACCAGATTGTTTCATATGTGTATCTTGATACATTTTGCCAGGGCTCCAGAAAAAAACACCATTCCCAATTGGATATTATGTACCCCGCTCTTGAGATCTACAGCAGGTACCCAGGTAGGGTCGGGTATTAAGGGTTCTGGTAACAGGGGGTAGGGTACCCCCTAGTAACTCTGGACTTATCCCAGCCGTATATGAAAGGCATTTAATTTGGTTCATAGTTGGCAGTAGCCTTCAACTGTCCATGCATAGATTCTACACATCAAATTTTGTCATAAAAGAGACAAAAATAAATACCATAAATAATGAATAACATTATTGCCTACCCCTCATTATTGCCCATCACACAAAAAGCACTACTCCAGTTATGCGGATACAAGAAAGGAGATCTGCATTTTACATCAGCTGCATCCAAAAAACTGTTAAACAGGTTGCTGATCGTGGTTAGCGATGGAGAAGAAATTTGAGATCAAATGGCCTACACCCAATGTGCATTTTACGTATTCGCGTTTAAATTGTAGCCATTGGTGTCAGAATCTGTACGTAACCAACATAAGTAACACTGAACCCAAATCTGCTTCAAATCCTCCGTGGATGTCAGACTGCATAATCGGGCATAACAATGTCAGCTTTGTTTTTCTTACGATTGCCACCGAGTCGATAGTCTGATCGCGCTTGCAGGAACATCTCTATCATAAATCCCCCATGTCTGTGCAATTGTATATGTCATTATATGAGAATCGTGAATGTCCCGTTACCCACAACCACCAAGATAGCAGGTGATTATTAATCTATGTTGGATTAAACGCTCCGTACTCACCACCTTAGACATCGCATGCCGCCATGTTGAATATCATTTTGAATGGATGACGTCACGATATCGCAAAGTCTCGTCTACGCTGAGTCCATAGCAAAGATGGGAGTGGGGTTCCATTCTACAATGTGTTCATTTTAGCATTGAAGTACGTCGACAATATTACATTTGTAAATAAATACAAACTCATTTTGTATTACACATTATCATTCTACAAGGTGGCTTCTTGTAATTTCAATGCGTCAGCTACAATTCTCGTTCTTGTGAAGTGGGCCTATTTAGGGAATGGGCTGACCACTGATAGATCTATAACCTGGCCCAGCTGACATAAATAAAAAATATCTTTTAAAAGTTGTTTGTCTCCTTATGTGTTCTTAAATCGTGTTTACATGTTGTTGTTTTAAATGACGACTGAACCGGGACATATTCTTTGAGTACGTCTAACAATACACAGATCGTTTGGTGTCTCCAACTACAATAAAATAGACATGTGGAAAATATAGATTCGAAATGCGCGAGTGAATGTTGTTTTACGGAAAAAAATCAGCAATGTTCTAAATTGGTCATGGTGGCTTTTACCAAATCAAGTCTAGGTCAGGCAACGAGTGGTTGACAGCATGAGCAAGGGGCCCGCGCAGTGGCATGCAAATAACGGGGTCTACATGTACATCGTCACAACCTGATCCTCTCTTTAATCGGATCTTGGGACACGCAGGTTCATTCTCATCTGGTGATCCCAGAGTGTTTACGATAAACGATATGAGAACAGATAAGGTCCTTCAAGGACAAGATATCACAGACGGCTGTGTTATCACATGTGTTTAAATACAGACAGGGTTGTTTCCATAATTGTACACTGATATCATGCACGTAATGACGAAAGTATGCGCGAGTTACTTAAAATTATGTGCTAATAAAAAGATGAATTCGTATTGAATGCAACAGCCTCCGTGGTGAAGTGGACAGAGCGTCTGCCCGGAGAGCGGAAGGTCGGTGGTTCGAACCCCTGGGCGCGCCATACCAAAAGATGGTACTTGATGAGAAGGGCAGGTCGGCTCGGAGGCAGCATTTGAGAGGTATATCCATGTTAAACTGCGGCATGGTATCTCAATGGGCTAGCACTATTGTCATAAAGTAATGAATGAATGCTGTTCAATAAGAATAGTAAGGCTGTTCGCCTTTTGCCGATGCCGTGTACATGTCGTGGTGTGTATTTTCGTTTGTCTGCCATTCCGTTGCCGGTTCGACAGTTGTATGCACCCGATTCATATTTAATATGTAACCACGCGCAAACTGCCATGCCTTGCCTATGATGATGAACTAACTGCCATTACATTATCTTGAATGACCACGGAGACTTCTTCGTCTTCTTTTCAACTATAAAACCGGCATTCATCCGGACTAGCACGCACGCACACATGCATGCATGGTCGCTACATAAGAGCAATATAATCTTGAACGTGCAGTCGTTGTTAAAGTGAAACATCAGCTATGATAATGACTATACAACGATTTCTTTATACGCGCACACGTAGGTCAGGTTCGCTTTGTAAATGTACACCAAATTAGCAATGTAGATTATGTACATATTCATAGAAAATAATGTTTTGATATCATGTTATGGTAATTCACTATACGCTAGTATCGAGTAGCTCGGGCCTTACCGCAAACACATATATTCTGTTTGCCGCGTGCATGTTTCGCTAATCTGTTGTAGATCTATTGCCAGTTGTAATTGGTAACACCCAAAAAGTAACTAAATTTAACTTAACGTCCTCCAACTAAGTCTCTTTAAAGATTAAAATATACAAAAAAAAGTATGTCTACACATTACCCGAATTGGAAATACATGAGCTTAGTGAATCACAGCTCAGATTAACTCGGAACCGTTTTCACTGCCGTGTCAAACGACCTCCATATAATGCATGTCACCGCGACCTGAATGCGTTTCATTTGTCTTCTTGGCATGTTTTAAATTCTGATATATTAATGTGTATTTCCGGGTCGAAATAGCAAATATTTAAAAAATATGTTACATATAATCCTCTTAAAGCTGCATATGGACACGTCCAGGAATGGGTATTCTACTTGTTTGTATCTATTGCCTGCTTCAGCCAACATTAAGCTTACTGCGTTTGGTTTATAGAAACCATGCGCAATATAATTAAGCACTTTCATTGTTTATTTTAAGCAAGTGACGTTGTTGTTTATATTTTTATGACAATATATCTGTTGATAAGTCGAATAGTGAAAAGAAAAAGTAAATATATTCGGAAATGCACTGTCGTGTTTACTGTTTAACTACGAGAAACAGTTTCCTGCTATATTATTTACTTTGTTTACACAAAATATATTTTGTATGTATGTGGTATCAACGTATACGAATCATTGGGGAAATGTGAATAATAATTACTTTTGCTAATATCTGTTTTCAGTGAGATTCGTCGCTGAAGGATGGGATTGAACTCATGCCGTCTGTAAGGCGTTATTTCGACTGATGGACGAGTCAGAACATGCGTAAGTTGAAATATCCGTCACGCTTTGAAGAGTTATCTCCCCTACATACCGGGACAGACGTCGCGTCAGAGATACACACAGGCTACGCGCGGGAGTCTATGTATTTCTTTTGATACTACATTTATCGCATCACCAGTATTTCAAGGAACTATTACCACAACCGAGGAAGAAATGAAAAAGTAGAAACGGGAACGATTAAGTGAAAATGTCTTTTGAGCTCATAGAAAGATGTTTTTGTTGAACCATGAAATAAGTTTAGCTAACACAACATGACAGCGCGGGCATTCTTTACATGTTTATAATCTGCACTGACGTAGTTCAGTCATCACCTTGCATTTCAATAAAACAGGAAAATTAATTTTCCAAGGTTTTAGCATTTTTTGCTCTTACTCGTCCACTCCAAATGTATAGAGTAAGGTTTTATTTAGATTTTTGTCGGAATAATAGTAAGATGTGAAGAATAGATAGAGAACAAATACGAAAACATTGATGCCTTACTAGGCGAGTGTAAAAACAGCGTATTTCACTTTTGTAAGACTGTGGCGGAGAAACAGAGATATTTGTCCACGGATATTATATAAATTATTGATTTAAAATAACAGTTATTTAACTCCACACGTAAGTTTATCTCCTAAATCTATTTCTGATTTGACGTGTGGCGTTTATCATGATATATCAACCACGCACCGTTTAGCAGTGGCGGATCCAGAGGGAGGTGCATGGTGTCATTCCAAATTTACTACCCGGGTACCAGTGCCGTAGCCAGCCGGGGGGGGGGGGGGGGGGGGGGATTGAATCATGAAAATACAAGTTGGGGATAAGTGATACTTGTACAAATATCCCCACCCCCCACCCACCCCTGTCAAAAAAGTTAACTACGGCCTTCAACCTCCAATTATCCGACACTACCAGGTACCCGCTGTTGGTCTCAAGGGTTGGGAACAGAAATGTCTGATTGGGAATTGTTTTACCGCAGCCCTGACAAAAACTATTTCGATACATGTATCAAACGATCAGTTCATGCGTACACTGAAGTTGACTGAAGCTTTATCCTACTCAAACATATATACCAGTCAAAAGTAACGTGTGCATCGTCAGAATGAAATACGAACATTAGCGACTTATTGTGTAACCACTGAGCTATAGTGAGTTTTTGTCATTAAATAATATATCACTTGACTAACTGGGTACCCGGGTCATATACTCATGACCCACCCGACCCGAGTACCCAAGCACAGGACCATGTAACAATAAAAAATTTTTAAAAAATCATAGACGAGGCCAGAGACCATATAATAAACCTATTATATGGTCTCTGACGAGGCCAAAGGCTGTGGGCCTCGTCTATGATTTGTTTGCGACTTTTTTTTATTTTTATTGTTACATGGTCCCGTGACCCAAGTTACCCGTCCCAGCCAAAGCACCCACACACCTACTCAAAACTCACACATATATTTATGAACATTAAATGGAACGCGTTAGTGGGAACAATCAGCATTTGAGTATCATTTACATTTCTTTTAGTAATTACAACTTTGAAGCAGACCAATGCACAATATTAAATCTTAAGCGAGAATTGCGCAGCTCATATTTGCCGCCACCTATTTCCCGTGAACCACGGCGACGAAATACTAGGCCCAAGTTTCCTTTCCCGCCGTCGCATAGGATTGTGGGTACCATGTGAAATAGCAAAATGGCGGACTCAGAAGAGGCAGAGTTAACTCCCGCAGAAGATATCGTCGTCACCAAATACAAAATGGGCGGCGATATGGTCAATGGTATGAAATTAACAGTTATTTCCATGGTGTACATTTCTACGGAATAAAGGAACCGTAAATATCGATTATAACTGTGAAATAGCCGTCAGTATTGTGCCCCTGCGAGACCATGTGGGAACCATGCTGCATGATGTCACAACCATGAGCAATTTTTTGTCCTTCCGAAACAATAATGTTTGGAATATTCTGCCAAGCGTCTCATTATTTCAGTTTGTATGTCATGTAAATGACTGCGGCACGTCTAACTGTTAATGTTTGTTATTTTGCCCTTTCTGGTTTACAAAGACCTCTGAGCTTGCCATGCCATATTGTTTGTTGCTACCAAGAAAGGCAACAATGTGATCAGCTGATGGTCCACGGGTGTAGCTCAAGTTTCAACACCAGTGAATGGAAAATAAATTTATTATTACCTACTGAATGCGATTAGATCGTTACAAATCTTTTAACATAAATATATGTTATTTTAGTGTAAAAAAGAGAGCCGAACAAAAAGCAACAGCTGCTTCTGAGCTTTGAGGGAAATAATGAATTTATTCAGGTGATGGAGTTTTGTGATGTTTTTCATCATCCCGATCTTGGTACATTTATGTTTGTCAGCATCAATTAAACATATTGACAGTCACAAAGTAGGTATGAAGGTTTTTTTCTTCTGAAGTAAATTTGAAACTGTCGACTTGGTCAATTCGTGTTCATTATATTACCATGATTACCTCAAAATTGATAAAATGTGCATGACATGTTATGAAGTAGCACCCTCCCATTGTTACACCTTCATTATGACCATGTTAAACTCCCAGCACAGGGAATGGTTTATTGCTGTAAGGAGCCTTGTAAACTTGTTTCAATGTTGACTGCAATATTTGAGGCTGTTTGATAATTGGCTAATGCTGGCATGTTTGGGCAAGTAGAATGAACAATGTATGATATATTTGAAAAGACAAATATATTCTCTTGTGTGCCTGTTTGGAAATTAGTTTGTGAAATAGTTGTCACTGACAAGTGATTGAATTATGACCTTGATGATTGTGTGACACTGTTCAGCTGTTTCCAAACAACATGAAAATTTTTCATGCTATTATCCTCTGGTTTGTTGGGAGAAGAATCTGTAACTTACTGTATGTCTTTCATCATGCCCATGAGATGGGGATATGGCTTTAATACTACAGATTGCAGCTAAAACATGCATATTTTTCTTTTGTCACAAATGTATGCTTCATTTGTATATTTTCAGAAATATTGAAGCAGGTGATCACCAAATGTGTCGCAGGGGCCTCTGTCCTGGAAATCTGCGAGCTTGGGGACAAACATCTTATCGAAGAAACAAGCAAGGTTTTCAAGAAGATGAAAGAAATGAAGAAAGGTTAATAATAAATTTTACCATGGATACAACACTGATAAACCAAGCACTACATTATTTTATAGGTTTAACGCCAACAGCGTTGGAAATTAGAATGAAAGGATCATCATAAGTAGTTAGAAAAAGTCAAATGTTAAACCTATTGCTAAAAATTGTAAATGAGACCAGTTTGCAGGGATTTTCCTAGGATTCTCAACTTAGTTGCATTCATTTCCATAATGTAAACCTATCATTAAGGTCACTTTCTTCATATTTGTTCTGTTGTCAGTAGGGGGCACGGGTGGCCCAGTCGTCTAAGGCGCCGCGATTCGCTGTGTAGAGTTGCGTCCCTTGGGCACGCCAGAAACCTATGATTGTGGGTTCGAATCCCGGTTCGCCACGATTATGTTTCTAGGTTTGTCAACACCATACCCGTGCTCGTGGGTTTCACCAAAGTGGTAAACGTCTGAGACCTGCATCACTTCGGGCTTTCCTCCCACATTAAGCTGACACGCCGTGATATAACTGGAATACTGTTAAAAGCGGCGTTAAGCCCAACTCACTCACTCACTCTGTTGTCAGTAGAGGTGGGAGATGGATCATCATTTTTGTACTACTCAATAGAGATACAAGTATTAATCGGTCGCTCACAAAGTAAAAATTAGTGATTCATGCATTGTTTCCTTTAATAACTGTTACAGTTTACACCAAACATAAATTAGTAGTGAAGCGGTAGAAATTGGCACTAGATCTAAAATCCTTGCCAAACTGCCCAATAGTTAAGGTATCATAGACTAGTAGAAAATTTGCACTTTTTAAGGGTTTTGCTACATGTCATTATAAGGACTAGTGGATGAAAACTTTTTTTTTTCTAACGCTCTAGTGAAAACTTCCCAAAAAATTAAATACTTGACACTGCCATCTGTAAATCATCTGTGTGCCAGGTGTTTGGCCATGCTGTCTGTAAAAGATGGCTCACGCGCCACAGGTAAGAGTATGCAAGTATTGTATACATGTTGGATCGTGAACAAGGTATTGGGATATTTAATGGATCACACAGTTGGTGTATCATCCCAGCTGTAACACAAATAGGTCAAATCCACTTGGCGTTGATTATTGGCCGCGATAAATTTTGTAGTTTGGGTAATGGGCTCAAACATGGCGAAGTTTGTCTTTTTCACAATGTGTGAATCAACTAGTACATCAAACATTAGTCATGAGAGTTGTGTTCACATTTCTTCACAGGTCTTGCTTTCCCAACTTGTGTTTCCGTCAACAACTGTATATGCCATTACTCCCCGCTGAAGTCTGAACCTGATGTCATTCTCAAGGATGGAGACCTAGTGAAGATGTAAGCAACTTGTTTGCCAAACTTTAGTACATGTGACAAGGAGTACTATTATGCATAACAAGTTCATTATTATGCGTACACACACACGAAACATTATGTAATTATAATAAAGAAGTTGTTTTCATAATAATACTCCTTGTCATGTTTTCATCCATCTTCTAAGTGCCTAGAAAAGCTCTAAAACTAATGTATGTGTAGTGTTTGACAAATGTTACTGCTCTTGAGGCAGTTAAACGTTACAATAAAGTAGGGATATGTGTGTGAAGTTGTAACTAAATCATTTTCTTGATTTAACATATTCAAATTTTTGGGTTAGAATTTGTCCCCAGCAGCCTATGCTGGTCGTTTTAAAGAGGCATCGAAATGGATCAGGTGGTCAGTCAGTCATGGATCATGCTGTCATTGATCGTTGTTTACAGTATCGTTCACAAGATTGTCTGGTGTCGTCTCAAAAATTTATGAGATGTGAAATGTTAACTCACTCACTCACTCTGGCCCTCAGTGTAGTCCATTAATAAATCCGAAGAACACCATTTCTACCATTGAATAGGCAGATTGTGTTTTCAGATGTTCGATAAGTATTCTAGTGCAGATGTTTGATCAGTATTCTGGTTAAAGTGTTATCATGTATTCAGTATCAGAGAGTTTGTTTCTGTTTCAGTGACCTCGGGGCTCAAATCGATGGCTTTATTGCAGTAGTAGCACACTCCCTGGTCATTGGTGCAAGTGCTGTAAGTAGACACCGTCTTGTGTGGTTGCTTCCTCCAAGTGAGATATTTCAAAATAATGATGTATGTTTCACAACAGCAAATTGACCTGTCCAAACTGCGATATGTGGCCTTTGATATGATACATCCATTACTCTATCAGGATACATAGCGATACAAACTTGAAAATGAACCTGTATCCTACAAATCAGCTGTTTGGATCATATTGGCCGTCATGTTACATTTGGACCGCTTCATGGTCGAGAGGTAGAGCAGAAGGTCGGGGGTTCAATCCCTGGTCGCGTCATACCAAAAGACATTAAAAGATGACACTTGTTACCCTGTCTGGCGCTCAGCATTCAGGGGCTAAAACAAGGACTGGTCGGCTCGTAGTCTGTATACTGTGTCTAGTGGGGTATTCATTTTAAATTGCGGCATGGTATCTCTGGGCTAGCACATGAAATCAGCATTGTGTGTACTAGTAGTACAAGCAGCACCACACCATGTAAGTGCAATCATTTTGAACGCGACATTAAATCCCATTTCACCAAACCTCACTTCACCTCCATGTTACATTTAACTGATAGATTCAGTACAGTTAACAATGAAGAAACGTCTGTTACCATTTTTTCACTCCTTTGAGATACAAGAGTTCATGGCCCCTGTGTTATATTGGTGTATCGAGATACATGTCGTGACCAGTGTGTTGAGATATGTATTGTGTCATAGCCGTCTGTATCATTACACCCCTAATGTTCAACATGAATTGTTGCTTACACTATCAATGGTTCAATTTTGCTTCCATTGGAACAGAACCAAACTACCAGAAAATGTAAACATTTATGTCTTGTTCAAGCTAGAAACTCTGAGGACTAGTGAAATATATGAACACACAATGCCATTTAGAAAGTGGTCAACTGTTATATTTGGGATAACACTTCATTAATAAAGTACAGATTCTCCTATTTTTTTTGGGTTGAGTATACAGAGGGGTACACAAAGTATGATCTAGACAACCAGTTGTCGGACTTCCTATTAATGTGGAAGCCTCCGTGGCTGAGTGGGTTGGATCGCAGACTTTGTGTGCTGGCGATTTGGTGTGGGTTCAAATCCCGGACGGCACTCAACCCCCCCAAAAGTATGAGAATCTGTACTTTACTTAGAAAGTGTTCTCCCAAATATAACCTTTGAAATATAGTTTTCACTAGTCCTCTTGAGTCTTAAGAAAATTATTTTCTGTTGGTGCACTGTGCACTCCTGAGAATTCCTGGTTCAAACTTTCAAACTCATTCATAGCCTAAATCGATGTCGCTCTCAGTTTTCCCTAATTATTTTTAATGTTATTTTTAGACATTGAGGAATTCCCCTAAAGTGGTTCTGTATGTCTCTGCTCGATTGACATCATAATCACGTGACATACTGACATTCATCGGGAAATGAACGACAGTCAGTCAACATCAACTCAATGTCCCGGTTGAAATAGATCTTCAGCAACCCAAGTATTTTGTTGTAAGAGGTGGCTAACAGGATCGGGTGGTCAGGCTTGCTGACTAGAATGATGCATGTCATCATATCTCAATTGTGCAGATGTCAACCACTGGATTGTCTGGTCCAGACTATTATTTACAAACTGCCATCATACAGCTGGACTATTGCTGATTGAGGCGTTAAAAAAACAAACAAAACAATGTCCTGAGTCCCCAAGAAAAACTCCCTAGTTTATGATACCATAATAAATTTGAAAATTTCAATAGTTTCAACAAATACACTGGTCCATTGGACTACTCTTGTAGTACTCAATCAATACCAGTAAGGTAGAAACAAGTTTGACCATAACAGAATGGTGGAATATCTGTTTCATGAAGGTCTGGCTGAACAAGTTATTTGTTGAACCCTGGACAGTGTTTGCAATTAAGAGTCTATTGGGGTCCTTGAGGTTTGGGGCGGTCGGGTAGCCTCATGGTTAAAGCGTTAGCTCATTATGCCAAAGACCCGGGATCGATTCCCAACATTGGTACAATGTGTCAAGCCCATTTCTGGTGTCCCCTGCCATGATATTGCTGAAATATTGCTAAAGGCGGCATAAAACCATACTCACCAGGGTTAGAAATTGGCACTAGTCCTATAGCCCTTGCCAAACTGCCTAAAGGTAAAGGTATCATAAGGACTAGTAGAAATTTGCCCTTTTTGAGGGTTTTGCTATATGTTATCATTATAAGGACTAGGGGACGAAAACTGTTAGTTTCTAACCCTGCTCACCCACTCACTCCTTGAGGTTTGCTCCCATAGTAATGACTCATGACCCTTCAATCTTTAACATCAGGTCTATGACAAGGGCCCCTTTTGTGCTTAATTTCGAACATTGCTGAACAAATGTTTCTTTTACCTTCAGGAGAATAAGGTGAAGGGGAAGAAAGCTGATGTGATGATGGCAGCGCACCTAGCCAGTGAGGCAGCACTCCGACTTGTGAAACCAGGCAATGAGGTACAATTTACATTGTTTGAAACACTTGATGAGTGGTCATGGTAAAAGCATAACGTTCAACAGGACAGCGGGATGGTTGTAGGTCCAGACATTTGCAGATCCAGAGAAGGAAATTAGTTATTGCTCATATGAGTATAATCATATTAGTCTTGTTTTGGAGTTTGCCATGTAGGTTTAATCTGGCCTTCCCAGTATGTAAACATTCTCACTTGCATAGACTTCTTCCTTCTTCCCACTAACTTGGCATGGCAAGTCAGCTGACTTGTCATGGATGCAAAGGTGGAATAACAATCTGAGTGATGTCTTCAGTGCTGATGTCCTTTACATCAGGGCTACCAATTTCCTCAGGACATGCAGAACAAATGTAACAAAATGAATAATTTCTTCAAAGGTTAGAGTATTTTCCAAAATGTAATCTGTACCCTGTATTGCGTACCCCAATATTGTGTTGACTTTATTAGATTTCCCCGAACCCATTCCTGCTGAATGAGTCTTGTGTGGGTTTGGTTTTTGACGTGGCTTCTAAATATTAATCTTGCATCTGTTGATCAAAGTAGGGAAGACCAACATAGTGGGCCTAGTGATTCAGAAAGGTTCAACCCTTTTGATCCTTTGTTACTCAACAAATACAGAGCTCCAGATAAGCTGCGTATCTGCGTGAAATACGCATCAGAAATGCAGAAATACGCAGTAAAATATAATCCCAGCTTATCAAATACGCAACGAACATTACAGATACGCTACAAAAATAAAACTTGTGCGTATCATCAAAATATTGTGAAGTAACCCTGCGTATTCGATTACCAAATCAGCAACTTATTTTGAATTATAAACGGGCATTCCGTCAACCTTGCCAAACTCCACGATGACAGTTACATCATGATCATTTGCTATCACACTTTCCTGGGGAGGTATCGTGGTATTTTTGAGTCCTATAAAGCACTCGAACCCACACGACACCAGTTTGCAGGGACTAGATGAAAAGAGTTTTTAAATATTTAACTTAAATACCCACATCTGTAAAAACTAGTGGGTAACAGAAATTTGAATACGCAGATTGAATTACTGATACCCAATGATTTTAAAATGCATGGGTAAAATACCCACAACACCAAAAGCTTATCTGGAGCTCTGAAATATAACCCTGTATATTCTGAATATGTGGGACCCGTGAAGTTTCCGTGGTAGAATAGGTCAACCCATGCTAGGTGACTATGCTTGTCGTCAGAGGAAACTAACGGGATCGGGTGGTCAGGCTCGCTGATTTGGTTGATTTGTGTTGATCGGTGCTCATGATATTAATCACCGGATTGTCTGGTCCAGACTCGATTATTTACAGACTGCTGTCATACATCTGGAATATTGCTGAGTGCGGCGTAAAACAACAAACAAACAAAAAAGCTAACATTTATTACAATAGCGATGTCTTGGTCAATGTGATGTGTATTTCACTAACAGCTCAATGAAAGACGAAGTGGTTTAATTTTTCCTTATTGCATAAAAACTTTCAAAAAATAACAATTTTGAACTAAATTTTTTCCAATTTGCCTGCCAGTGACACTTTTGAATCTTGGATAAATCCCTCCTGATGTTTGTTGTGTATATATGAATAGTACTGGACACAGTGGTATAGATGGTGTGCAAGACTAGACCCCTAGTTGACATACAACATAAGCTGTTGTAAGAAGTATTTGCAGGAATCTGGTAGTCAGACTTGGTGGCTTGGTTGATTGTGTCATTGTTCCCTGGAGAGTGGATTGTTGTTCATAAAGTCAGTCATACTCGGACACATACCGGCAACTGTCATATGGACGGGGGAAATTGCCCCAAATATACACAGAAGATATACCTGGAATAGTGACATGTCATTCTTGAGATTTGCTGCCGTATTATTTGAATCTAGTGACCCCTAAGTATTTAACTTCACATTTGAACCAGACTACATTAACCTACTTCAACAGCATTAGAAATTGGCACTGGTCCTATAGTCCTTTCAAATTGCCCTATAGTTTAGGTATCATAAGGGGTTGTAGAAATAGCCCCTTTTAAGGGATTTGGTATATGTTATCATTATAAGGACAAGTGGACTGAAAATGATACTTTCTGACAATGCTTCACCCACTAGGGGCGGTCGGGTAGCCTGGTGGTTAAAGCCTTCGTTCGTCACGCCGAAGACCCTGGTTTGATTCCCGACATGGGTACAATGTGTGAAGCCCATTTCTGGTGTCCCCCGCCGTGATATTGCTGGAATATTGCTAAATATTACTCTCACGTTTCACCCACTGCCCTCTCTCACTCAGACACATTTGTCTATAGAACTGTCTAGTATGGGGATTTATTGGAAATGAATATGGAACCCCACCACAAACAGTGCTAACGCTGCTGGTGTATAAACATATTTTATAGCAGGTCACTGACCAGGAATATATTTTTTTTCGCAGAACTACAATGTAACAGACAACATACAGAAAGTTGCTGAGTCCTTCAAATGCAAACCCATTGAAGGTGAGGTCTTTGATTTAAAACGATTAGAGTTCAAAGTAGCTTGTGAGCTGCAAGGCATCAGATTATGTACCAGGTGAAATGTTATGTAATAGCTTTGGTAATTGAAAATCTTGAAGCATCTGTGATGGCTTCATCATTCATTCATGAGGGAAAGAGAACTTGTAATTTCGAGTTACTAAATACATCTTCAATAATTAGTGTCTGCAGCTTATACAGAGATGACTTGTCATTTGAATGACCTCCATTATTCATGATAATGCACCTTTTTTTTTCAAAGAGTTACTTTAAAAATACTTGTAATTAGTAATTTAAAATTGTTACTGAGAAATGCAGAAGTAATGACTTGCCCAACAAACTGTAAACACGTTAGCTTTGTCCTTGCCGACTAATACAGAATCACTACTTCAAGTGTACTGTTTGCTAGAATACCCACTGGTTCTTATCGTGATTTATAATTATTGTCAGTTACGATTAAAAGGTGGGAAATAGATATGAACTTTGTCTTCGGATCTAGGCTAGTGCCGTCGGTCTACCAAAGGGTTCATTACATTTTTTAGTACTGTTTAGTATCTAGGCCTTAAAATTATGATAAACTGTAAAGTCAATGACTATATAGATGGCACCCTTCAATAGTTTCCAAACTAAACCTGGAATTTTTTTACCCTGATTGATATACATAAATTTAAATTATATAGTTAAGCTGTCATGCCAGGACAAATTAACTACAGGAATATGAAAGAAAGAGGTGTTCTTTGACTTCTTCTGAGTAGTATATATGGAACAAATCTGACTTATGTACCAATTCAGCTCTGGTTCTAATCTGTCTGTATTTGCAGGCATGTTGTCCCATCAACTCAAGAGACACGTTATTGATGGTGAAAAAGCTTTTATACAAAACCCAACAGAAGCCCAAAGGTGAGACAAATTGTAGCATTGTGAAACTTGTAGTCTCCAGTTAGAATGTGATCAGTAAATGCTTGTCTCAGAGACAGAACGAACCCTGATTATCCAGTGTATTCCAGGGAACTAATACATTTTTGGAGTCCAAGGCATGAACAATTGTAACATTATTGTCGTGCTGATTGAATTCAAAACAAAGATATGTTGGCTAATAAGTCCTTTGTATTTATAAAAGAATGGTATGGGGCGGGGAGGGGTGACAAAATCACTGTACAGTGTCCAAAATTTGGCATCAAGTCATGGATCCTGTCATGTTAACAGTTTATAGATTTGGGAATTCGTAGATTTTGAAGGATGACTCTAGGAACCGTCTTTATTTTGAACACAGTTGCAAGCTTTTATTGCGTCGTCTTATTTTCAGGAAAGAACATGAAAAGTGTGAATTTGAAGTCTATGAAGTGTATGCTATTGATGTCTTAATCAGCACAGGTGAAGGAAAGGTATGTTTTGGTTTTATCAGTATTACCTTTGTAGATTTGTTGTAGATGGGGTAATTTTCATGTGAAAAGGAAATTTTAGAAGCTTAGAAAAGAAATCTGATTCCTTCTTTGACACTTCAAACAATATGTATGATCCACAACAAATTACATTAAAAAGTATTTTCACAAGGTCTGCAATCCCAGTCATTTTTGTGTTGAGCGCACTTGAGATATGAAGAATGAATGACTTGCCTGCTTGTTAACAGGGCAGGGAATCCGACACAAGGACAACAGTTTATAAGAAGAAGGATATTGTTTATCAACTAAAGATGAAAGCATCAAGGCGTAAGTATTGAGAAATATATTAATAATTATCGGAAGCTGCAGTTCTATTTACCACACCTTTATGATGCTGTGATAATCCTACTCGCTCATTATCCGAAACTTTTCGGGTTCTTTTTGTAAGGAAACACAAATAAATTAATTTCGTTTTAATGGATTTTACGCCACAATTAATTAGAATTTCAACCAAAAATACAATCGGACAGGAGGCAAACTGATCATTTCATTCATGTACATGCCCCATGGTATTTGGTATCAAGCTAAGAAAGAAGGGAAACATTAAGGGAGCATGTGGGTACTTGGTGGGGAATTGTGGTGTGAGGTGAAAATCTAAGAATACATTGATGGCCACAACTGAACTATGAAATATGTATGTGATCTCTGAATGATGATAAACACAGACCTGTACTGATGACATTTGAAGACAAGTTACAATTCTGACAGAGATTATTCTGCCTTTGGCAGTGTACTGACTTTCATCTCTTGACTTTCATTGCTGTTAAGACTAACCTTTTTTCCAGAATTCCTCAGTGAAACTGACAAGAAGTTCGGCTTGATGCCCTTCACGCTAAGGTAAACAGTTCCTGAGGGTTTATCAGAGAAGTCGCTAAGTGTTTCATTTAATTTTTGGATCTCGTTTGTTTTAAATGTCGAAGGCAGCTTTAAGGCTCTCATGTGAGGATTTTATGAATTGAAATTAAAATATTTGATAAATCAATGTCCTCAAATCGGTCTGCCATACCCTGAACACAGACCTAATTTGAAAATCTTTTCAAACGGGATCGGGTGGTCAGGCTCGCTGACTTGGTTGAAACATGTCATCGATCCCACATTGCGAGGATAGATGCTCATGATATCAATCACTGGATTATCTGGTCCAGACAAGATTATTTACAGACAGCCGTCATATGCTGGAATATTGCTGAGTGCGGCATTAAACAACAAACAAAACCAAACAATGACATAATCTGAACAATAAATATACTACACCCTACAACCCTTGAGTCTAACTCGTACACTCAAGGATGCAGAAGTGGTGCATTCTGGCCACATGTATATACCAGGGGTCCGGAAAATTTAAAATCCCAATCGGACATTTGCATTTAGGCCACGCCCCCTTCAAATAGCGTATTTTAGTACGACTTTTCACACACATTACAAGTTTACGTATTCATAATATGATGAATTATGAATTGTTTCAATTTAAATTGTTTAATTCACCGGACAATTAATAACAAATAATATCATTTTAGATTTACATGGAAAACATACGTTTGTTTCTGTTATAATAACGATCTATTAACGTAGTGAACGGTCTAATTAATATTCATGAGTTATATTCATGAGTCTGCTCAAGTGTACGCGTTGTAACATTTGGATCGAGACTATTATCCCATATTTGGTTATCACGGGAAAAGGTTTTTTTTAAACTAAAGATTTTTTTAAAAACAAGACAGATAATTTAATCACAAATACTCAAATATCGTTGATAGCAATAGTTATTTGAATACTTTTTTCATCTGTACTTAATTATTGACCATAAAAAAATTGGATATCGATCGTCCGAGAAAGCAAAATGGCGGTCAATCAAGATTCAATATACGACTAGCTACTGAAAAAAATAAAATCTGCAAATCCTCATTGTGAAATGACTTACAAATTGATCGTCCAGACTTTGAGGGTTTGGCAGATCCGCTCGACTGATCTGCATCGGTCGACTGGCTGTCGTCACGCTTTCGCTTCTTGTCTGAGGTTACGTATCGTAGCATTGTGAGGATAATGAGGTACATCGATGATGCAAGGTATTAATGTACAGTTGTAAACACCTTTCACTCAAATTAACAAGATGTTCTCAGTAATTAATCCTCGATTAATCAGTGTCAACTCAGTTTATTGCCTATTACAGTGATTGACTGATTGGACTATCATGTAGGTACGATGTATTTACAGCAATCAAAACAAACAAAGCTTGTCAGTGTAGTTAATCTTCATTGTGTTGCAACTGCAGACAGAAACTGCTCAGTCCTAACTGTTGATCATGTCCGGTCAAAATTTAAGAATGTCCGGACAATACTTTTTAAAATGTCCGGTAAGCAATATTTTAAAACGGACATTTGAGATTCCCAATCGGACATGTCCGGCCCATATGACGGTTTCCAGACCCCTGGTATATACCATCAAGGAAGTAACTTAACCTGACTGAGAATGTCAGTCTGGGTTACTTCAACAATGACAAAGGAATTAAATACCAAAATGTCAAGTTTGTAAAGATTATGTAAAGCTTGGTTTAAACCCAAGTAACACTACTTAAATCTAAACTAATTCCAACACAACGAGCTTAACTTATCCCAGCCTACTTCTATTACAAATGTCATACTAACATATCTACTACTATCTCGATACTATACTAATACTTCTAACAATACTAATGTCCTAATAATAACAAAACTAATACACACAATGAATTAATAGCAGCATTGACATACAGAGCTACAGATAAGCAGCGAATTATACTCCCAAAAATATTCAAAACTTCCGTACAGAAACGTAAGCATAAAATTATAAAATACCACCCAGTGAAGCTTTTTCTGCATGTGTACAACGGAGCTAATTTACTTTCCGAGTCGGGCCTTTATTTAGGACTTTCATACAGTCGTATGCATACTGATTATGCAAAACAAGTGATGTAATCCACACAGCCATACCATGGTAATTTAGAGTTGCACGCCCTTCATTCGCTTATTACAGGTACCTTGTTTACCTTACTCGGTAAAGAAAATCAGCATCGATCAATCCTAATTAATGTGTCATAAAAGTTGAACAAAGAACAAACATTTTGCGTATGACATTGTAAGCGTGTGCCATTACGATCCATTACCGCGATAATATATTTTTAGTTTCGTCAAAAACATCACGGCCTCGTGTCAATCATCAAGCTAAAAAAATTACGAATGTATCCATGCGGCACCTGAAGCAAACCTATGGACCATAAGCAAACATTAATACATGCATAACCGAAAATAGATTATTTGTTATAAGGGAGAGAAACTGATTTGGTTTAGCAAACGGAAGTGTTAATCAACATGCTTCGCTGTCCCATTTGGCAATAAATACCTTTACGCAAAGACGTACTGTTTTGATTTACAATAACAGTGGCCATTTGATATGAAATCATTAACGGTCCAGTCACTGCGTCCATGAGTCCCACACATGTTACAAATATGAGTCTGAACGCACCTGCGTATGTTCAAGAGGCAGCTCTATACATAAACTTCCAGAGTTTCTGATGTATATACAATCATGTCACCAGAGCTCCAGATAAGCTGCGTATCTGCGTAAAATACGCATCAGAAATATGCAGTAAAATCAAATCCAAGCGTATCAAATACACAACGAACATTACAGATAGGCTACAAAAATAAATTTTTTGTGTATCATCAAAATATTGTGTAGTAACCCTGCATGTTTGATTAGCAACTTATTTTGAAATTATAAACAGGCATTCCGTCAACCTTGCCAAACTCCACGATCGACAGTTACATCATGATCATTTGCCATCACACTTTCTTGTGGAAGTATCGTGGTATTTTGAGTCCTATAAAGCTCTCGAACCCACCCGACACCAGTTTGCAGGGACTAGATGAGCAGTGTTTTTAAATATTTAACTTAAATACCCACTTGTGTAAAAACTAGTGGGTAACAGAAATTTGAATACCCAGATAGAAAAATGATACCCAATGATTTTAAAATGCATGGGTAAAATACCCACAACACCAAAAGCTTGTCTGGAGCTCTGTGTCACTACTTTTACAGTCCATCAGAGGACACTTGAATTACTTCCTCTGTATAGTGATTGGGTGATCTTCACACCCAGGTGATGGTTTCCCAACGGATGTCTGTGTCCATCCTACGTTAGCATACTCTCGCAGAGGTATGCTGTGTGACACTCACTCACATGGAGATTCTTCTCTGCTACACAGTTTCAGAGAAACTTCCTTCCTCCTTACGTTATTACAAGGATGACTGGCTAGTTCCGGGACACTACAATATAATATCAGCAACTGCAGTCACTTAGGTACTTAGTCAGTTGGCCAAGGGAGGAAAAGAGGCTTATTTAAGATTTTCGTTCTCACTATTTTCTGTATACAGTGATCCCTCACTACAACGCTACCTTCGGGGTCCAAATAATTGATGAGCGATAGAGACGATCAGCGGTTTAACCGAGGTGGAGTCGTAGGGGGCAGATGACAAACCAAAACATATAAATCTAGATGAACAATGAACACCTTTTTATAACCTAACATTATTAAATTGCGTACTTCAGTTCGGGTTCATTTAACTGTTATTCTAATTCTCAGTGAAAACATTGATAAAAATCATGTTGTTTTTAACTGTGTATCGAAATCTGCTTGAACCATTGTGCTATCCTATACAGAAAACAAAATAAGAATATATCAGCTAGGGGCTGAGATATTGTATACAATGTTACCCCACCCCCCAAAAACCAATTTTGACGAAAATTGCTTATTGAGATATGGTGATAGATTATGTTGATGTAGTGGATGAGTGGGATAATTGCAACAATGCTTAAAAATACCAAAATAGTAAAATCATAAAGAAAAATGATGTTTCACGTTTTTCTATGGACATCTTTGGTGGCCATCTTGAATTTCAAGATGGCCACCACTTTGACCTAGTATCAGTATCCGGAACAGTTCTTCAACATGGTCATGTAATATATCATATGAAAGCTTTTTACATTATCTTTTCAATGATGTATGTAATTCACCGACTCCTGTGGTAAATTGATCCCTAACAACAAAACAAATGATATATTGAAAGCTAGCACAATGGTTCAGGCAGATTTCGATACAGTTATAGTGGTTTTATTGTCACATTTCAGTGGAATTAGTGTTTTAACTACTAACAAGATTTGAAAATGAAGTTTTAAAAAACCATGATTTTGATCAATGTTTTCACTGAGAATTAAAATAACAGTTAAATGAAACAAAATGTTTGCCAAATTCATATAAACGAACATATTACCTGTAATCAAAGACATAATTTGGATAGTTTAATGACTTGTTAAAAATGTTAATAAATTTTGTCAATTTTGATCCCTGAAAATTCATGCACACACTTGCAAGCTTGCTACCAAATAAAAATTGTGTACAGATACCTCCTTTATGCAATAGAAAGGTTTCAGCTATACAGGAAAATGTGGGAACAAAAATCTTTTTTTTCCACCCCTGGTCAACTGACTAATGTGTCAGTAGCTTACAATACATACAGCAATGCATCAATACTCTGATTTATATTTCAGTGAGTGGAACTGTTTACACTTGAATCATTTGTTGTTGTTTTGGGTTGTTTTTATAAGTGGCTACTCGTTATTAAATCAATATATGCATATAATTACATCTAGAAACAATACATAACTTATAAAATTCTATCCTCAATATACACAATCCTACATGAATCAAATAAGTGGAAAAACTTACGCCAACCAGAGTGAAAAACTTCCACAATGTCAGTTCATGCCTTGTCAGAACAGTATGCTGATTCTGGTTGACTCTGCAAGTTATTACCCTGCCCTGCTATTTAAACTGGCCCCCATTACTCAAGCTACCCCTGACCCCCCTATTGTTATACCAATTAACTCCCAAGCTATCAGCTTCCCCAGTCATGCTTCCCTGAATCTAACCTGTTCCCATGGTATTACCTGACAGTATCTAACAACAAACCCCAAGCTTAATTTTCTAATTTAACCATACCATAATACCTCTATCTGAAGTACAAACATTTAGTTAATATACACAAATATCTGTGATCTTGACAACTCCTATAGCTGGAATCTTGCTAACTGTTGCCTAGAACAATACAAGTAGGTTCAATTATTCAAGGTTTGAAACGTAACTTCATCTTTTCAGGTTATTTGAAGATGAGAAGAAAGCCAAGATGGGTATTGTCGAGTGTGTGAAGCACGACCTCATGCAGCCGTTCAGTGTGCTGTACGAGAGGGAAGGTGAGGGGAGACAAATATTGCATTGGCAGTTTTGCCTGCCAGTACAACATACCATGGGTGAAACTATACAGAAAGGTCATGATTTACATCAAATCTCATGGAAACTTCTCGACCATAAATATTTAAGAGCAGGTTCACACGGAAAAGCGAGCTCTGGACACATGTTCACAGTGGCTATTTATAGTAGTGGCTTGAAGCGCTAATTGCAACACATTTTGGAATATTTCACTGACTAAAACACAAAGGGGTCTTTTAATGACACATCACTAATGTGTTTTGGCAAGTGTATTGATTTGTATTGATACAGAAAAAGATATATCATGTATCAACGTATGAAAACAAGACGCACCCCAACAATGTACTCAAGTTAGTTATGGCATTTTTTCATAAAAAGTTGATTTTTCTCAACATCTCATTCACTCTTACCTGTGAAGATCATAGATAAAATAGTTCTTCAGCAACATCAGCTTGTCGTAAGAGGCGACTAACAGGATCGGCTGGTTGGGCTCTCTGACTTAGTTGATACAAGTCATTGTATCCCAATTGAGTGGATCGATGCTCATGATGTCAATCACTGGATTGTCTGGTCCAGACTCGATTATTTACAGACCGCCATCATTCAGCTGGAATATTGCTGAATCCGCTGTTAAACAACAAACAAACAACCCCGTGAAACCACACTTTTTTACCCTACTGATTACTCCAAAGCTTCTATTTGGATTCACATCTCTGCAATAAACAGGGGCACAGGTGGCCCAGTCATCTAAGGTGCTGCAATTCGCTGTGCACGCTAGAAATATGTGATTGTGGGTTCGAATTCCGGTTCATCCCAATTGTGTTTCCTGGTGTTTCTGAGCACCATACCCATGCTTGTGGTGGTAAACGTCTTAAACCTGCACCACTTCGAGCTTTTGTCCCAGATTAAGCTGACACGCTGTAATATAACTGGAATTCTGTTAAAAGTGGTGTTAAACCTCACTCACTCACTGCAATAAACATTGGAAACTGTGCAGGAAGTTACATAGTACCATGGTCTGAAGAAACTTGCTACACTCTGAATGATGAAAAACACAGACCTGTACTGACTTATCTGTGAAGTTTCTATGATTCTGACAGAGTGTTTGCTTTTGTTCTATGAAAATCATGTCGTGTAAATTAAGATCCGTTCTCATGAATACTTGGTGAGTAGCTGTCACCAATTTTATCTATTCTGAATTGTACCTGAAGTTTTCTATCATTTGGAATTTGGTTATGCCCTACCACGGTGCGCACAGGCTTGAAAATAAACATGACATGAAACGACCTTGAATTACACATTAAGGCCACATACTTTTTCGTTTCATGGGCCTACCGCCCCTACTGATATGCAGCCGGTCTAAAATATATTCAACATAAAAAAATATTTATTTTTACTTTGTCTCCCGCTAGTAATATAGAGCCTTTATGTAAATTCCATGTCTACTAACAGTGATCCAGAGACCACCAGCAGTATCAACTCCATGGCAGAATGACTTAATACATAAATGATCTTATTTTGACTGACCCTGTTTGGAAAGGCTGGAATAAATCTGTGAAACATAAAATTAAATAAGCGTGGCCTAACTGCACATCAATTTTTTGGAGGGGTTCTATTCATGTTTACAAAAGTGCATACGGGCATGTGAACGACCACGAATGTATTCAATAGTGCTTCATGATCAAAAGAAATTAGCTGTTTTTGCATATCTCATTTGCATGATTGTTAACTTATGAGTGTTCTGTATGACTGTGATCCAGAACTAGTTACTTTCCTTCATATTACGTCACACTATTTATTTGTCTTGAATTTGACTAAAAGTGACTTGAAAATGCCTTGAAAAGCCTTTGAATTTGTGTAGGACAAACCTGTACCAACCCTGCATACCCTATGTAACACCATGCTCATTCACCCTCTCTATTTAAAGTATTATCACACTTAATTAATTAACTAAAGTAAACAATAATGCGAATCTTTCACTAGCCTGTATAACGACATCCCAAGACAGCCCAAAATTCTACTTGTGCTCTTGAGACCTTTGACTAGGGCTAGTTCAAATTTCTATTCAAGTTGGGTTGAGGTTTCATTTGAGCCGATGGAAAAGCAGCTCGCCTATCACCATTGGAATCTAAACAAGAAGTTGCATAGTATCATGGTCTGAAGAAACTTGCTTCACTCTGAATGATGAGAAACACAGACCTGTACTGAATTATCTGTGAAGTTTCAAGTATGATGCTGACAGAGTGTTTGCTTTTGTTTTCTAAAACCAATTTATAAATTCTGAGTTGTTACTGAAGTTATTAATAATTTGGAAATTGGTTATGCCCTACCCTAAGTAACAACATGCTGTCTGTTGGTTTACTTGGTCTGATAATTTACAGGCTGCAGTGATTTAGCTAAAATTACAAAGTGTGTGTGCTAGCCTATTTTCCACAATTCTGGTTGGCTGTCGTGAAATACAAATTGAATGTCATTTTTGTGCAGTAAAGACTCACGATATGGAACTTCTTACTCAAAATGGATTTCTTGTGACTTTGAGTGCACCAACTTGCAATATTTGAAACAATGTCTAAATAATAATCTTCCTACATAATATCATTTATACAAACTGTTCCAGAGAGATTATTTCATTGTGGCAAGAGCTAATAGTATCATACAGTGCAGTCATGATATCCTCCGAAAAGCCTTGTTTCGTCGCTCGGCCAAACCTCATTCATTCATATCAATCTGGGGTAAAAACATGATAATTTTAGGCTACAGAATTTTAGGCAATATGTGACAGTTATTCTTCGATAAATGCACACAAAAATGAAAAACAATTCTTAAGTAACATGTTGACTACATACAACAACATGCACCCTATGTGGATTCCTGGTTAAGATAGGTCCAGAGCAACCTAGATTTGTTTCAATATCTGAAGGATACTAGATAAAGTGGTATAATTTTTGTTCCAGGTGAATCGGTAGCCCAGTTCAAGTTCACAGTGATTTTGATGCCAAACGGACCATTGAAGATCACAGGTTTCCCGCTTGATACTGATGCATATGAGACAGAATACAGCATTGAAGATGAAGAGCTCAAGGTAGGGTCAATAAAGTTTTTAATGTGCTCGCTCAAGTATCTGCCTACAATGCAATACCTCCTACCCTTTTGGGAAACAGAGTGGCTTGATTTTCTAAGTGAGCCTGATGGGACGTTGGACATGACATCAACCGCCGGGTTGTCTGTCCCAGACTCTGTTTACTGGTCATGGTGATATAGCTGGAATATTGCTAAATACAGCAGTACCTCATTCTCTACTTAATAGCTGACTGATACAAGCAATTGGTTGTGACTCTTGTGTGCCAATAGGCATGGATGGTTGCTCTTGCTTTGTCATTGTTTGGATGATCTACACTTACAGGCCAGCACGGTATGGCTGAAGTATTGTTAAAGCAAAACAATATTAATTTACATTTAAACCTGTGAAGATCTGGATTAGAATAGATCTTTTGCAACCCATGCTTGTAAGAGGCGACTAACAGGATCGGGTGGTCAGGCTCACTGACTTGTTTGATACATTTCATCGTATCCCTATTGGGTAGATCGATGCTCATGATGTCAATCACTGGATTGTCTGATCCAGACTGGATTATTTACGGACCTCTGTCATATTGCTGAAATATTGCTGAGCGCTGCATTAAACAACAAATAAACATTTTCTTGTCACAGGAACATGGTATATTATCAGGATATAGGAATGGGTGCTTTCTGTCCATCTGTTACGATATTTTTCTGGGTCATACCTTAGATTGTGCAGTATTTTATCAAACTTGACACAGGTGTCAGAATAGCCTCATGCACTAGTGAGTTTAGCATTTTAAGAATAAGTAAGTAATAAAATTTATAGTAGGACTAGTTCAAAAGAGGTTAGGATTTGTTTTCTAGAGCATTACCCAAAGACTTTTTCAATACTCCTTGATCAGACTTGGCACTGGTGCCATTTGCCATTTTGGACTTTTAACATATATTTTGGATTTTTCTTCTTCTTCATGACAACAAATTCCAATCAATGAACATACTGAACCATTTGTATTTCCTCACTAATCAGTCAAGCGGTAGACGGCTTACTTTTAAGTATCTTGCCATTTTTTACTAGTATTTTTCTAATTCCATTAAAACAGATGAAAAACCCTCGAGTATCCAATGATAACCACTGTTCCTTGTGTGACAGCTAAATGTACCAGTTGGCTGGCAGCGCAAGTGTGTGGTTAGTGGTCAGGGGCATATGTACACAACATACCATTGATGGAGATATTAGTACTTCATGGGGGGCACAGGTGGCCCAGGTGGCCCAGTCGTCCAAGGTGCCGCGATTCGCTGTGCAGAGTTGCGTCCCTTTGGCATACCAGAAACCCATGATTGTGGGTTTTAATCCCATTTTGCCTCGGATATGTTTCTCAGTTTGTCAGCACAATACCTGTGCTCGTGTTGTTGTTTTTCTGAAGTGGTGAATGTCTGAGACCTGCATCACTTCGGCCTTTCCTCCCACATTAAGCTGACACGCCGTGATACAGCTGGAATACTGTTAAAAGCGGCGTTAAACCCCACTCGCTCACTGGTACTTCATGCTTGTTTGGAAATGGTGAAGCCACAATCACTTTCATGTTGGAGTCCGATTTAATACATCAGTATCCTATGACTTGTTCCAGACTCTGCTCGCAGCATCCGCATCCAGGAAAAGTGCTAAGCGAAAGAAGAAGAAGGTTGAGAAGGCGATCGCAGAAAACATGGAGACACCCCCAGCACCAGCTGACTGAGCGAGTCCTGTGACCTTTGACATTGTAGCCACAATACCGGAATACATTGCAACCTAGATGTTGCTTAATGCTCAAGGCTGGGTCAGCCGAGGGTTAGCAGATCATCAAATTGGACGTCAAAGTTGAATATCTTTTCTATGGAGTGGGGGTTTCTTGTCTACATATGTAATGAATGGTGAAGCTTTTCAAAGATGGATTTAATATTTCATTCAGAGACATGTAGAAATTTTGTGAAGATTTTGAAAATATAAGGGCTTCTGCTAAATTCTGAAATAAAATGTCTTTTGTTTGAACCATTAGCTGCGCCTTTGAGAAGCAAATCCTTTGATTTGTGAAGGGAATGCCACATGGTACTGGTGGATGGTATAAGATATATCAAATAGTTTGCAAATATGATTGTCAGTCCTGTAAAGTTCTTTGTACAGTTCTCTTGAAGGTTTAACTTGTTATATACCCATGTGAACGTGTTTAGGTATATCTGTTATTTCTCACAACACCAAATTGTACATTGAAGATGGGGCCATGCTGTACACTGGAATTCATTGTATCGTATTCTTCCTCACCCCTTCCTACTATTGTACTTAAAGTCATTTGGATAGATTTGTTAAAGGCAATTGTTGTATTATTCAGGACACCATTGTTAGTGTGGTTACAAATCGAATTGTGATGAAATAGGCTGATGTTCATGCATAAGTGGGTTGATGTTAAAAATTAAAATGGGCCACCAATTCTCCAACTGATGTTTACTACTTTTTATTTTAAGTATAAAAAAGTGGAATATTATTCCAAATATTTACTGTCACTTGCAAATAAAAGATGACTGGGAAACTTTAACATGATCTATCCTTAAGTTAAAGTTAAAGTATTTGTAAATATATCCATAGCCAATGTGTTTCAAGGACTTGTGTAGAATTCAGAATGACAGCTTGAAAGTGCTATTTATTGTTAACCATCCAAACGTTTTGATTAAAGCAAGTGCCCCTCCAAATTTTTTACCCTTTTGTTGGAGAACTTGATTTTGAGAAAAAAAATAAAAACCCAACCAAACAAAAAAACATTGCACTTGTTCTTCCTTCAACGGCAATAAATGGCTTCTGAAGTTACCTATTTTGGCACTCTTTGTTGCACTGTTTCACACATAGCTGCCAAATAACAATTTGTATTTTGTTACGATCTTGTCGGGACACCAAGCCTGGTGATATGAATCATCTACAGTACAAGACAGCCATGTGATACCGAAACTGTTGATATTTTTATTGCTTAGTTTCTGCTTCAACTACAGAAAGTTGCAATAATATGAGTGAAGTGTCTCGATTGGACAGATGCAATACTATAAATAGACTTCATACCAGTCAATAAACACAACACATTTACAATGGATCGTTATATTGAGGAAGTAGGTACCTGTAGTTCAGGGTTTTATCAATAGTTCAATTAAAATCTTCCTGGTACAGCTTACCTCAGATGCATATTATCTGGCACAAAATTACTTTCACCAACTGATAATGTCTTGGCAGCCTAAAATGTTACTTTTTGCGCATGAAAATGTTAATGGCAATATATTGCAATGGATATCACACTACAGACCTAAGTCTAATACAAATTCTTGGTGACCTGGCTTCAGTGTGTCTGGAATGTCTGGAGCACCTTTAGAATACAGTACCAAAACTGAGGATGATCTCTGCTGTAGGTGACATGTCTCAAAGAAAAGCAGCCGTCTTTTGTGAGAATTCGTCGACGTCAGAACTCGTGGGAACGCATGAATGACATGGTATTTCATAATTCGTCGGGTTATTTTTGCGAAAGAAAAATGTGGTTGCAGCGGTAGAAACTAACAGTTTTAGTCCACTAGTCCTTATGATAACATATAGCAAAATCCTTCAAAATGGCAAATTTCTACTGGTCCTTATGATACCTTAACTATTGGGTAGTTTGGCAAGGACTACATGACTAGGGCCAATTTCTAACGCTTGGTTGGGAACACTGTAAGGATAATGTAGATCAACGTAAGGAACGAGGGAGGAATATGCATGGGTAGTGACGCCACAAGGGTGAGTCCGTTTTTTAAATTATTACTGAATAAACGTGAAAGAGGCTTGTGTACCCATATCTATTATATGGTCTCTGTTGACACAACCATTTCATCCCGCTTTCTCGACGTTTTTGTGTGAAGAGTATTAGGAGCTGCTATAGAATCGATAATAGCCACTAAGCGGGTACCCAACCCTAATGATCATGAAGCTGGGGCTGATTGATCGTAAAGGGGATCCAAGGGCTAAGGATAGTTTGGCGTAACCTATGCTAACACTGGCGACATTTGTGTGTTCAACGCCAATATAATATACCTAATGTACTGCATTCCTGTACATAATGATGAAAATTTATTTATCAATAAAACTATATGTATGTTCCCATTTATAATCATTTAAGCCACTTAAATAAAAAAAAAAATAGATAAGAAATATTTTGAAAATAAGTGCTTTTATAAACTAGCGCTTGCTATAAATGTGCTGCCGCAGGCTATATTTAGTAAACAAATATTCAAAACTCTCAACATCACTTGGCTTATTCAACGACATTGCGTGTGGAGATAATAGATCACTGAAAGGAGCTTATGGCTTCACAGGGCATTGTTTCGTGTGTGTGACTGGCAACAAAATACTACAAATTACATCATAGGGTATTGTGACCTGTTCGAAAAGTTTGTGGTACTGTATTCTAAAGATGTTCTTGCTCATTGAGTCTCAGACCACTCTTGCACTTAATGGTGACAGAACTGGGTCAGGTGGTCAGGCAGAAATAGATGGCGTGGATGCTGCTCATGCAGCCAATCACTGATTTGTCTGGCTCACTCGTTCATTTGTGGACCGCTGGAAATATTGCTGACTGCAGCAGACTACCACAAAGTGCGGGCCAATTTTTCTATATTCTTCCATATCACAGCTGTAGTTTCCCATGTGTGAAGCCCATTTCTGGTGTCCCCCGCCGTGATATTGCTGGAATATTGCTAAAAGCGGCGTAAAACCAAACTCACTCACTCACTGTAGTTTCCCCGATGAGGATCGTGTCGAACTATATTTTTTTCTGGGCCTCCAAGTATGACTGAAGTACAATTGACTTTGGTTCTTAGCACCGCAAGGAGAAGTCGGGTAGCCTGGTCAAGGCATTAGTTCTTCAAGCTGAAAACCTGAAAATGTGCTGTGTGAATATCTGGTCTCCATATGGCAGGAATGTTGCTAAGAGGGGCCGAAAACCCTTTACTCACTCTGTACAACTAACTTGCTGTGTGAAGTACACTCTGCTTTGAAGACGACCACTGAAGTCGAAACAAAGTAAAGTCCAGCTCACTACCATTGTTGAAGGGCAAGTGTTTTCATCACAGCTGGAAAGAGGCGTCAAAAAAACATTTGGACATAATTACATGTTTCCACATATTGATGCAGCTGTTTTGACCTACAAATTTGAGAAATATTGCATCTTACATCATTTCTAAACATGAAATAGAATCAACCTTCCTACCAACCCATATCTGCAGGTCCATAATACCTGAAACAAGTACATTTTTTGGTTCAGCCTAAACTGGCCTCTGTGGTCTAGTGGATAGTGTCTGCCCGGAGAGTGGATGGTCAGTCGTTTGTTTCCTGATAGGATCCTACAAAAAGACATTAAAAGATAGTACTTGTTACCCTGTCTGATGCTCTGCAGTAAGGGGACCACTGGAACCTATATATAGTACATTCTGGAACTTAGAACATTTTTCTAAAAACGAATGATCTTAATCTATCTCCATGTCATCAGATGCTTATTTTGATAATACTAAACACTTAAGAATGAAACTATATATAATAATAAGCTGATATCCAAACTAAAATAAACTACATATTACAGGTTCCTTCATTAGTTCATTATAAAATGACAACTCTTCAAACAGTCATTGTCTCAAGACTAGTAGTGGGAGTTACACCACTCTGCTTTTAAGGCGACCATTTGTTTCCTGGTAGGATCATACCAAAAGACATTAAAAGACAGTACTTGTTACCCTGTCTGGTGCTCTGCAATAAGGGCATAAAACAAGCAGTACCTTGTCATTCCGCGTCTGAGTGGGGCACTGTATCTAGGTGGGCTAGCACTAAAATCCAGACCAGTACACACAGAAGCAAGCATACACACACGACACTACAATTGTATGTGAAAATATACTAGCCACATAAAGAAACTGTGCACGGAGAAAATATAGATATAAGGGCACACCGTCCATATATGAAATATAGGTTTGAACACAGCTATTATTGGTGACATCCAAACGCTCATGCACGTGCCATGCGATATGACGTCATTGATGGGGGCCTATGGACGTGCAATGTGTTACTGCACGTGCATCCTGTGCAGCTGTACACAGCATGTGCAACTCAAAATTCGCTGTCACTTTGGAAAGCATGATCTGTGGTCATTCAAAAATTCAAAACTTCTCAGGCGCAGACACAAGCATATCACAAGCAAATCATTCCAAGATTGACAGCTGCACAGCGTCATGAAGCCATTGGAATGATCCGAGCGGGAATGAGGCAACAACAGGTGGCAACACATTTCCAATGCCATCATAACACGATATCGGCCTTGGTGAGGCGTTATCAGAACACAAATGACGTTGCCGACCACCCACGTTCAGGACGTCCCCGAGTAACGACGCCAAGACAGGACAGATGGATTCAAGTTACACATCTCCGACACAGGTTCCAAACGGCAGTAACGACGTCCCAGACAATTCCTGGACTGCGCCGTATCCATCCCAACACTGTCAGGAATCGTATACGTCAGTACGGGATTCGACCACGACGCCCTGCCATACGTCCCATCCTGACACACCGTCATCGAGTCAACCGTCTAAGATGGTGACGAAATCATGTTCGCCAACCACGAATATGGTGGAGAAATGTTGTCTTTACAGATGAATCGAGGTTCAACATTTCCCACAGTGATGGGCGAACGTTATGCATGCAACTGTATTGTGGAGAGGAATCGTTTTGGAGGTGGCTCTGTGATGATTTGGGGTGGGATAACAGCACGGCACCGAACCCCTTTGGTGGTTGTTCAGGGCAATCTCACCGGTGTTGGCTACAGAGATCAGATTCTGAGGCCTGTGGTCATTCCTTTCCTGCAACGTCATGGCCCGGGATTGACATTTCAACAGGACAACGCTCGTCCTCACACGGCTAGGGTCGCAATGGATTTCACCACTACAATGTCATGTTACTGCAATGGCCTGCAAATTCTCCAGATCTCTCCCCAATAGAGCATGTGTGGGATGAAATGGAGCGCCGTCTGCGTTGTCTTCCACATCCTCCAGATAACGTCCGTGACTTGGCACAGGATTTGAGGAGGATATGGCAGGCCATTCCCCAGGCCTTCCATGCCCATTTGGTGGACTCCATGCGTCGCCGATGCACTGCTGTGATTCACGCACAGGGTCTTCATACCCTTTATTGACTTTGTGACTTTGTCGTTTGACCCGCTACTCCATTTTGATCTTCTGACGTCATCGTAACAGATGTTGTTCAGGTCCCATTGACATTTTCTTATGGTCCGATCATTCAGCTGCTACAGCGTCTGCATCAATTTGTTCTTGCTGTGTTGTATTTCAATCCAGAATATATTTTCTCCGTGCACAGTTTCTTTATGTGGCTAGTATACTTTGAACGCAAAGTCAACCAGTGTTTGAAATAATTTTAAAATGCCAGGCTGCCATCGGGACTCAGACTATACTCTTTGGTACTCATTTGAGAAGCTGTAGCTTTTTGTGATAAATAAATCATCATGTAAATTGGCCATATTATAAAGGACCCATAAAAGCATGAAACTACGATACAATGCCTACGGGCAGGCACTTAGAACACGTTAAGGACGTTAACCCCTTCTCACCTTACCGGAGAGGGTCCCCAGTCCTCCTCCTGTAGGGCGGCAGCCATGACAACCATCGAATCCCCATGGTACTAAAATCAACAAGACCCGTGAAGATCCAGGTAGAATAGGTCTTCAGCAACCCATGCTTGTCGTAAGAGGCAACTAACAGGATCAGATGGTTTGGCTCTCTGACTTGGTTGAT